TCTACCTGTCCCATAATATCAAGCACATTACCGACACCTTTGTTTAAAAATGTTATTTTCAACCCATCAATTGTGCTAAGGAAGTTACTCTCACTGCGTGAACATAGTTCTCCGGGAGCAGACAACATCCGCCCGAAGGCACTGAAGGCTATGGCCACCAAGCTAGCTGAACCACTGTCGCAGTTCTTTCAAAGGTGCTTTGATGAACAACTAGTCCCCACTATGTGGAAGTGTGGCATTATAACCCCTATTTTTAAAGGCGGTAGCCGTTCCGATCCTGTAAACTATCGTCCAGTGACTCTCCTCCCCGTGCTAGCGAAGGTGATGGAAGCAGCCGTCGCTGACGCTTTAATGGACTACCTAGAAAAATGCAACATTTTGGTACCGGAACAGCATGGCTTCCGTCAACACCTGTCATCCACTACCAACCTACTTATTGCACGAGGTAGTTGGACGGAAGTGGCCGATGATGGGATCGGAGTCGACGTCATCTATCTGGACTTCTCCAAAGCTTTCGACCGCCTTGATCACCGCATCCGACTTCAAAGACTACAGAGTTACGGAATCGAAGATCCTGTACTTGGTTGGATTGGCAACTTCCTTTACCAACGAAAGCTTCAAGTATGTGTTAGGGGATCACTCTCTAAACTAATTGAGGTGGAATGTGGTGTCCCACAAGGCTCAGTGCTGGGACCGCGTTTATTCCTGGTGTTTATCAACGACCTGGCAATGGTCATCTCCTCAAATTTCCTGCTTTTCGCCGATGATGTCAAGATATGGCGCGCGTTTGGTAACAAGCCCGATCAGGATCTGCTCCAACATGACTTAGATTGCATTTACGAATGGTCAAATAGGAACAAGTTACAATTGAACATAGCTAAGTGCAAAGTGATGCATCTGCGTCACCAGCCGGTGAGCGCTTACAAGCTTGGAGACCACATCTTGGCGAAGATTTCTCAGGAGCGTGACCTGGGTGTATTGGTGCAGGAAGATCTCGGGTGTTCAAAACAAGCAGAGAAGGCGACGAGAACCGGCAGTCAACACTTCGGCCTTCTTCGCAGAGCCTTCGGTCGGTTTGAACCCTCAATCTTTCCCCAAATGCTTAACGCCTACGTGCGACCTCACGTGGAATATGCTATTCAGGTGTGGCAGCCGTGGCAGAAACAGGGTCTCGTTGCTCTCGAGACGGGCAACCAAGAATGTCAGCGGCCTCTTTCATCTCCCCTATCAGCTTAGACTGAAATCTCTAAGAATATACAGTAGTCGATATCGGCTTTTGCGGGAGGATCTCATAATGGTTTACCAGATTCTGAAGAACCCAAACCACATTTGCCGTCCGCTGCTGTAATTGAGCCACAACACTAAACTAAGAGGTCCCCCTCTGAAACTGACAATTCATTATAGCCGGCTTGAATGCCGTAGAAATTTGTTTTCTCTCCGCGTGTGCCAGCCTTGGAACGCCCTCCCTAATTATGTCGTCTCTGCTCTTAATCGGGCGATATTTAAAAAGCGTGTTGACGATGCACTCTCTCACTTACATTTCATTTTATGACTTATTAGCCAGGGGCTACAAAACGCAATCAAAGGATGTCTTGCCAAACGCTTAACCAATGGATTTCTAGATTTATATGTTTAAGACGTGAACATCTCCGCTATTCCGCATAAGTCTATGGTGAGTCCACCACAACGCTTTTCCCTTTATCATGCAATTGACTTTCACAATAATTTTCCATCCTACGGGACTTGTTAAGCAACGCTTTTTTTACCCGTAATAAACCATTGTTCCATTGTTCCATTGAACTGAGTAGATCGGTGGGAGTACGGTGTCCAAGATGTGTGAAGCCTGTCCTGGATTTATTCTAGTGGGCGCTGCAACATTTTGGAGTTGATGACAACCAAGAATAGTTTCGAGGAGAAGAAAATCAAAAGAATCCGGAGAGAGGTTACAATGGAGCAGATACTAGTCGATAACAGCACGATTAAAGTCCCGCATTATGGGACAGTCTCTACTCCTGCCGTGCTTCTCTATCGACTCTAGTAAGCAAGTTTCGGACTTCATGGTTGGCGACATCCGCTTTCGGATTTGCCTGTCACTGTGACCAGCCACAGGACGCCTGCGCCTACGGCCACAAGGACCGTGCACCACGTCTCCTACAGCAATGACCAACTGTCTCCTGTAGTCAGTATGGACGAGGTATTGGGTAATAGACAGGTAGGCACCTTGTCAACATGCACATCAGGCGTAGCCACATTATGGATGTCAAACAACATCCGATCCCTTGAAATGATATTAGCAAACAAAATATGTCTGTTAAAGCATACAGCTATGCTAACATAACTATTTGCTAAATTAACATATGAACTAAATTGATTAACAACGTATCCGCGATCCGTATAAATTGTTCACAAGTCACTCAAAAAATACTACAAACGCAATAAAGTTAACGAACAACCAAAATTAGCGTAAGCAACGCGGCCAGTTAATAGAAGATTATTCAGGTAGCCAGAACAAACCAAATAAACTGGAATGAATGTAACCAGCATAAATACCTGGTTTAAGTGCAAGTTGTTTTGGCCCAACTGCGTTGAAGAAGCATCATGAATGCAGTATTAGCCTCAGCATGTGGCAATCCGGCATGAATCCGACACCAAAAAGCTGGAAAGCAGTATTGTTGCCGCAGACTGCTTTCACAGGATGGGCCTTGTGGCTCTCCTTCCAGTACCGAATCACACCACCCTAGGATCACACTCCAGAACGGTCGGCCTGAGAGAAGTGATACCCCGGAATTTGAAGCTATGCGTCTTGTATGTCCGAAGGTAACCAGGTCACTGTGAAGGTCATTAAATCCGGTTGTTTTTCTGAAACGAGGAGTTGAATTTCCTCAAGCTTGTTGCTTATGCTACACATAGTGGCATTTATCACTTGTAGCCCATTCGTTAGTCTTACAGCGTGGGTCTGACGAGGATTGGTTTCCAGAGAACTCTGTGCTTTCTGTAGCACGCGAAAATCTACAATGTGGAGATTAAATTCACCATTTGTCCGAAGTTTCTGTAGCTCTTCGACAGCGCTCTTCATTCGGACCCGATCTTCTGGAGAAGGGTCTCACAATACACAAAAGCATTCTCTCTTGAGACGTGAGGTTCGTCTGAGAACGCGACAGCAGATAAAACTGAGGAGATGAGTTTTGGAGCTGCCTTCTTGCTTCCTGCCGAGACGAAAGGCAGAGACAATATCGATGCCCACCTCATCTTCATCGAAATGCTTGGAAATCATTCGTCCTCAAAAAGTTTTGGTCGTTCAGTATCCTTATCAGATTCAGGAGCGTTCATGATGACCAAGCATCGATTCCGATTTGTGATGTTCTCACGAACCGGCGGCTTAGGAACCAGGTTGTCTATAATCAGGCTTTCTAGTTGGCAGACTCTCTCAAGGAGGAAGGGTTGGCGTTGGTTCGGGCCTTGTTACGCTTCGGACTGTTTTTACCTCAACGGCTGCACTCCGGTTAACGGAGGCTGGAGCTGCGCTACAGTTAACAAGTGCTGCAAACATTTTGGGTTCAAGATCATTGTTGCCGCCAGGAGATGTCAGCGGCTCCGGAAGCAACGAAGATAAGACGTTTGACGGCAGGAGTGATCGCCTTGGTTTTACGTCCGCTACGTGCTATGGTCACCGAGGATGAAGCGGAAGAGTCTCTAATACAACTTATGTTCGCAGTCGCCGAGCCGGACACGGCAATGAGCTTGAGGGGATCAACCTTTGTTTTTCGTGTGTAGGCTACAGGGCTCTGTGGGGTTCAACAGATCCCTAGGCTCTAATCCCCCTCCAAGCACTTGACATGTCACACATGAAAAAGACAACCGTGGAGAAGGCCCGTTGGAGAAATTCATACAAATTAGCTTCGACATTGCAACAGGAAATACGCAGCCAGCCATTACAGGTCTGGCACTGCACCGCCTTTGAGTGCGTAGTGACTGCTTCGCAACACTCCATGCACTTCGATGCCATTATTTCTCTTGGATTTGAGAAGAGTTTGACAATAGTCAAATTCTGTTCCCAGTGTTTATTCAAACACTTTTCCACGACAGTTCAGCATAAAAATCAAAACAGAATGGCACATCCGATGGGTGCCCGAGTGACTAAACTTAGTGTCACTCATCGGGCGCTCGCCGAGAAAACTTGTGCGTTCAATTTTCCCCAGATTTTACCGTCTGTTAGAATAATCTAGCCACATTAACCCCTCTTATCATCAAAGACCACACATTATTACAATTCCACACAGCTGGCGATATACACATCCCGTAGGGACAATATTACGCACTAAAGATCAAGTAAATTACAGGCCAGAATCTTGCTGCGCAAACTGTTCTGTCTCATGTTGTAGTTACCTTTCCAGCTGCTTAGTCTTATGTTTATATTTTACTGCAGCTATACAGAAAAGGATATGTGTTACGACCGCCCGATGAGTGTCCGGCATCGGACGCTGTAGGGTAGATCAAGTCACGTTAAGCGTTCAGGGACGGAACATGTCTCCGCCTAGCGAGCGTCCCGTTTCGTGCGACGGTAAGCAATCCAGCGCCTTCGGCATTTCGACGTTGTTACGGAGAGCGAGCGCACAGGCCGAGAGCAGTGGCGCAACAGTGGTTCGATCTACACTTCTAGATCGAAAGTCAGTAAAAAGCAAAATGCGAATATATGTGGAATTAACGGCAAGCCGGACCATGAAATTGAACCTTTTGCTTTGTGTTAATTAATATTAATTAGCATCGCCAACTTTGTTGTCTTCGTGGTTTCCTACAACCTATTGATTGCGCCATACTCTCATACAATAGAATCACAATCAAAATCAGAATCAGAATGCAATTCCCTCGGTCCGGCTGGTCTTGGTGTTCTCACTTCGTAGCAGGTTAAACTGGTTGGGGGCGGCACAGCAGATTCAGGCAGGTTATCCGTAAAGTCAGGGGAAACCGCAACAGACATTCAAGCTTCTTCACTACTGCAGCGGCCAAAAAGCGTAAGAGAAACCTCTGATAACTTCATAAAACTATTCGTGACTTCATTTTTGCTTCTTATTGAAATCTACTAATCTCAGTGTAATTCCGTAAACAGAGTGAACCAATTCATATCTAGGCTTCTATAGCCTTACATTCCATTAATGCAGGGCGAAGTGAATGCCAACTACGTACTACGCGGTGAGCGCAAAATCTCGAACGGATATCCAGTCTGGACTTGTACATCTTGAGCTTCAGATGGTGTCCCCGCTGATGGTCCGACGTAGCTATTTCAAAGAGACCACTGAGGTCCTCCATAGTGTTAAACGTTTCTATCAGGTCTCCCCTTAGTTTCCGTTGTTCCAGTGAGAACAAGCGTAAACAATCCAGGCGGTCAACATCCGACTTTCCACACTGACCTTCAATCATTCCAGTGGCCAGTCTAATCAAACGACATCCTTTAAAATTAAGGTGTCCAAGCCTGAACACAGTACTCTAAGTGCGGCCGAACTACCGGTTTGTACAATGGGAGAAAGACTTCAGGTTTAATATTACACGCCGCTCTGTTGAGACGAAAACGTCCTTGCCGAGCTCTGTTAGCAGCATATTGGCACTATGCCGAAGGCCTGAAGCTATCTACCATCAAGATGCCCAAGTCCCTCGACTTGTCTACACACTACAATGTCACGAACCCACTGGATGGTTGTGCCGTAATCTCAGCATTACTGGATGGTGAAAGCTGACATTTGTTCGCGTTCAGTGGCAAGTCCTATGATTCAGACCACTTGGCCACAGTGCCCAGATCCTTAGACAACGTATCCCTATCTCCCCTACTGACAAGCTGTGCGTCATACACAAAATAGGATTCTCGAGGCGTGGAGGTAGATCATTTATCAACCTAACAAACAACCCTGGGAGACTCTGCTATGAACAAGTCCCACGCTAGATCTGACCGCCCCAATTCTGACAATGGACTTCCGGCCACAGAGGAACTCCGACAACCAGATTATCCGTTAGGAATGCAACCCAAACCAAGTCAGCTCCTTGAGTAAAATACGATTCTTAACCGAAGCAAATGCTTTTACTGAAGTCCAGGTAGCAGACCTCCACTGGAACTTTGTCATTGAAGCATTAGGTTATTTCGTCCAAAAAATACAACAGGTTTGTAAGACATAACTTCTTTTGAACGAAGCCATGCTGTTCCGCTCCAGTCAAGTTGTTACTAACTAAGTGCTCACAAATTCGGTGCCCAATAAGCTTCTCCAGACACGTATGCAGAATACTTGTCAGACTGACTGACCCATAGTTGATTGGCGCAGACTTGAAGTCCCCTTATGAATTACCAAAACGATCGTCTCTCTTCAGTCATACGGTAGACCACCTTCCCGAAGAGAACAGTCGAATAGGTCCAAGACGAGATAGTGTAGAATATAAGCGAGCGCTTTAACAATCATTGGAGAAACATTATCAGGGCTTGTCGAATTATAAGAATTTAAGACGGCATGCACCTCAAGGACATCTGGTGCGGTTATCACATCGTTTGGCATTGCAATGTCATATGAGAAGTGGGACTGCGTGTGGATTGCACAGCCACTGTCCACAAGGCGCAAGTGCTGGAAGACACTCCATAACACAGCCTTAGCAGAATCGTCCATCCTCCTTAGTCAGGTTACCAATCCCCTCCCTCAAAGAAGCTTTTGACTGTACATAACTGGAATGCCCGATAGTATTAATAGGGTTGGACCGGGCTTGAGCTCGCTATTTAACCCGGCTAGGTTGCCTTATCTTCGCGGTCATCCCATGAAGCTACACAAGCCGCGTTCCGACCGCATCAGGGCGGAAACTCGGTTGTCGCTTAGAGTTATCGAGTGCCGAAACTCGTTTGCGGAAAACGTACTCCATGTAACTACGGTTAGAGGGTTTCGAACGCTAGTTAGACGCTCTATGGTGGCAATCCTATTGGCATTAGTGTCCGAGGAGTGCACAGTGTGTGTGTCCGGTGGACGCCCGATGGGTGACAGATGAGCACCCGATGGGTTACCGAGTAGCATAATATTGTCACTCATCAGGCGCTCGCACAGAAACCTTGAGCTGTCATCTGCATGGCAGGTGCCTGCATGGCAGTGGAGGATGCGTCGGGCTATATCGCATTTAGCTAACAATTCACGATAGTCAGATACCGTCCTCCATGGCGCAGTTGCATAAGCTGCGGGCTAGTTGGCAAGAGCCACTAGCAGTCATGGGTTCGATCCTCCGCAGAGGACCGAAGGATGCGCACCACTGATGAGCCCCAATAGGGCAAAACGGCCGTCTGGTGCTTTTCCGGACAGCTGGTCGACATATCTGAATTGTCGGCTAATTGCGACGAACAAAAGTACTCACCAAAATCCTTCCATTCATAAGTAACCTTGAGCTGGCTCAACTTCGAACGCTACTTTCCACAGATTTTACCCCATAAGAATAACCTAGCCGCCTTAACCCCTCCTCACTACCAATGACTGCAAGTTATGTCAATTCCACACATCCAGATACACACATCACCTGCTGAATGCTACACAATGTTGACGCTATGCCCTAGCGGACCAAAAGATTTCTGCGTAAACCGTTCTGCCTTCTGCGGGTATAGCCACGTTTCCCGCTCTTTAGTTTTGTTACTAATTTTTTATGTGTTACTGCACCTGCACACAAAATGACACATTTTACTGCAGACTGCTGGGTGTCCGACATCAGGTGCTGGTGTGATTGCTGGTGCTAATAGAGCACACGAAACCTTCCCGTTCTTCTGACCAAATCCGTCTTCCAAGTTTGAGTTCAGATTATGTGCTTCTCCCCACTCTTTGGTATTATCCTTCATTTAAATTACATTCCTTGCACTTTAGCCTCCATTATCTCTTACCTCTTTGTTACGACATGGGACCTGCACATCGGGTAATGATAGTGCAAGGAAGGTGGGCAGTAATTGTTTGACCAGGGTTTGGTATGTTTATTTCGTTTTAGATCAATTAAGACGTCGGAGCACCTTAACGAAGCTTTGTTCAACGATTCGCTCAGGAAGGAACACACAAGGGATTTTCCTATCGTTCCAGTTCCAACTGAATCTGAAGCTGATGGTACCATCTCCACTGCATTGCTCATTGGGTATCGAAGGCCACGATGCTAATTAAGGCGTGAAACTGTGACCTGCTTAGGCCTCAAAAATGCGCTATCTAACCCTGCTTTCTTTTTCCTTCGGAACCAATATGGGGAGGATAGTTCTAACCTAGCTTGGTCGTAGGCTAGAGAGGATAAGTCGAGGAGACCCACCGAGATGTACGTGGGCATCCTGGCGCACAACGGATAAGGTTTAGAAGTGGGACAGTTAGCGCTCGTCAGGGATGAACTAGGGGGTTTCAATTGGGGTTAACACCGTTGTACACTGGGTCCACTTCCTGAGTCCTACTTCAACATGCCGCGAGGTCGTAGAACCAACGCGGAACGCAGCTGTAGTTACTAATGAATCGATCATTTACAAGATAGCTGCCTACTCCTGTTCCATTTCAAGAGGTTAACCCTGACATCTCTCGAAGCTTGGAACCACATGGACTAATTGTTTGCATAGCCATAACGAATTTTTACCTTTCTTACCCTCCAAACAGTGAACGTGAAATTCCGGATGCAGTGAAGTATCGCCCAACATTCTGTGCCGACAGTGACATCAAACAGGACACATGTACGTAAATGTTTCAGCGCCTGAAGTGGTGTTAATTTATGTAAGCAGAATGCCGGTTCTTACATTTGTGTCGTCTTCTTGTCTCCCTTGCAGTTGCCGGCGTGACAACACCAGCTTACAACTTATCTGCGGGATACACTGTCATTGTCAGTTTACCCGATGAAGGTGATCTACGCTTCGCGGAGCTTCTATTCGCCGATGATCAAGGTAGTGGTGACTGTGACCTCGGTATCCGATGCACTTCTGGACGATGCAAGGTACGTGTGTGTCAGCCAACTTCTAACCACTGTGTCATGCATTGCTCGCGGAACCAAATGGCCTAGTGATCATGAAGATAACCACTACCCATTATGTGCCAAGTTCCACCATGCTCAGGCTGTCTTTACCTCACGCCTAAATAAAGACGAAAAGCATCATGGAGCACAGTGATGAGAGAGAGCAAAATCGATGGTCCCAACATTTTCTTCATGATGCGTCGTCTGTGGGGAGGGGGGAATATTTGCAGAAACAGGCCTAGCCGACATCTCTTTGATAGCCATTTTTTAAACCCTGAACTTCAGGTAGTGATAGCCATTACTGGGGTTCGCAATGGGAAATTGGGAGCTATCGCGGAATGCTTCCTTAAGAAAAGGCGATCGAGCTCCTCAAGTAAGGCGTGTTTCAACGGCTAGCACTTCATTGTCCGAATTTTGACAGCACTGGGCCTACTTGAAAGGCATACACAGGAAGGAAACCGACTACAGGGCATGTTTTCAGGAGCAATCCGCACTAATCCGTAACCGTTGCAATGAAGGCTCGACCTAGTTTGTAATACCATAAAATGAGTTCACTGAGAGTCTAGCCTGGTGTTCGGTGCGGCCTTGGTGAGCATGACAGGAGAAGATTGACTGCCGAATAACAAAGCTATGTGGCGTGATTCAATCCCAGTGCCGCGGCACTTGGGGATATTTGATAAACCATGGCTATAGTACATTACCATTTCTTGGTCAAGTTGTGCACTTGGCCAAGAAACTTAGGCTGAACGGTAATGCAGTTGCTCTGAGAGGCAAGCAAGTTGAGTCGGTACTCAACTACTTGGAGCCTTGCGTGTGACACTCACTTACGCTGGTGTCTAAGTGTGTGTATAGACCAACGCCTTCAGGCAATATGGCCTCAGACGCACTAAGTGTCCGCACCGTAAGTCATATGGGTGCAAATGGGACGCCTCAACTCTTACGTGGTACAGTGTCGGTGACTGATGCACCATGCGAGCCAGTGTTTCTCTGTCCAATGAAGCGATTCCCAACAATTAAGACGAGAGTATAGGTTTGCACGATGGTTGTGTTAGAGTAATTAGCCACAGCCAACTAACTTCGCCATGTTTTTGAACGAGCATTTACATTAACGCAGTGTTTAGATCGTGTGCGGACCAGTCGATAGAGGTGAAGATTGTAATACTAAGGGCGTACGAGGAAGGAGACGATTAGAAGCAGGTGATTTGCACACTGCAGGTGAACGCGAACATTTCCCGTAACTGGATACGGGTGTACGCATTCACGGAACTGATGGGGCAGCACGTGGTTGTCCGTCGTAGAGCACTGAGAGGAAGCCAAATCCACTCTCTGGTGGAGTGGGATTCGGCAGGGCTTACCGCTACCCTTGAACTACCTCCTTTGCGGTTTGAGGTGGAGTTCGCAATTGCAGTATGAATTAGCACGGTCTCATGGTACGTTGATAGTAGACCGATAAAATTGAAGAAGCTGCACACAATTCCGGAGTCCATGAACACGCTAGAGCACCCAAAGAGACGCAGGTCGTACGTTTTGCAGTTCAAGGATTACAAGGTGGAAGGAAGGCAATGGGTGTAGATTGATGAGACAAACTTCAACTTATCCTGCGCCCGCACTCGTGGCCGCTCAAAACATGCTAGTCGAGCGCAGTGTGCAGTGCTGAAAATCCCGGGACCGAATGTTCATCTTATCGGTGTCATGACAAACAACGGCCTGATATCGTGTTCGGTTTGGAGAGGAAGTTCCAAAATACAATGGTGCGCTCGGTGGCTAAGACAACTGTTCGCTGCCAATGGAGCAGGATTTATGGAAACTTGCCGTTGGATTCGCGACAACGCACCCTGTCACACTCACTTGGAACGGGTTTTCCTGGCGAAACCGTACCGCATTGGGAGACTTCTACCGCCTTGCGTCATACTCTCCAACACTCAGACCCATCGAGGGTATCTGGATCATAATAAAAACGCATGTAAAACAGGCGATGAAGAAACATTACTCCGAAGTGCTCCTGGGGGACGCTAAAAACCTTATGACTAAAAGCGAGCTGTGGGTTCTGTTTTTCCGAACAAGCGGTGCCTTGGTGACGGAGAACCACGGCGTACCAATGTATTGGCATCGCGGAAAGAATTATGGACGTGCTGTTCTTTTGGCCGATCTGTAAAACATTCCGATGGAACTAAACTACCAGTTTTATGATGTCGGGTCAGAGTACACTTTGTACTCTGCTAGAAATAGCCAGTTCTCAATTCGGGGGAACATGGTGAATTTCAGGGAAGGTGGTGCACGTGGTCGCGTCGCATGCCCGTTTTAGTTGGCTCGTTGTAGAACAACCATGCGATTGCTTGATGAATGGATGAACCCCTAACATGGTTGTGGGGCAAGCAATTGTGAATTACCGCCTGTCGTTGTTTGTGTTTCGAGACCCAGTGGAAAAGAACTTTGATAAAGGCGTGATAAGGAAGTAACTTGAACTGTACATACTTGACCGACATGAGGAGAGTGTGTGGCCGTTTGCTGGATTGCTTACCCCGTTACACCAAGGTAGAGGACTGGACACCGCTTGTTCTCGCGCGAGGGTGATCAGTGCGGAAATGCAGAGCAAGTAGCGAAAGCACACGTAAAGTTTGCCGCGATTTCCTGTGAAATGTTTCCGGCTGGATATTTGTCGCTTGCGGAGTCTATTCAAACACACCACAGGGTTGCGGTGAGTAGATGCTTTGAAGCGGCATATGAAACATACTCGATTCGGCGAATCAGCTTTAATCGTCAGATACTAACGCCTGAAAAGCGCTGAATGATTCCACATGACGCAAAACGGTCCGTAGGTTCAAAACCAATTCATATATCACCGATATATTAGCAAGTGGAAGTTGCTATTTCCGCCAATCCATATTTTACGTGGTTAGCTAGTGCGGTTATAATCGATTATCTACAATGACAATATCTCGTTCATGTTTCTGTCATCCATCCACACACCTAAGGCTCTGTCCTCTATCGTCAGCTAGGACCACACTATCCAGCTCACCACGAGATGTCCATTTGAGTTACTTTTGTCACCGTAGAACTCCACCTCCACCACTGTTGGCTCCTAGTATTGCTTGTTCAATAACCCTATCTTCGCTTCATTAACACCATTTAATTCTATAAATTACCTCACCTCTACCTAACTGACTGCTCTTCAGTTCACGTTTCCTTAAGCTCTTAACCACGAGCGGCTTCAGCTAAGTAGTCAATCCGGCTCTTACCCTCACCTCCCTCTTCGTTTAAGCGATACCCTAAAACTCCACCTTTGAGTGGTTCGTTTAATCTGTTATATCGGCACTGCGCTAGTTTATTCCACAGTTGTTGGTTCCTAGTTTATCTTGTTATGCAACCTTATCATTGCTGCAACAGCGGCATTGTTACTATCAAAAAGAGGTGAAGAGTTTGGTAAGACTTCAGGTCGGCAGCTCTCATCACATACTCCTTGCCGTTAGGAATCGTTCCGTTTTCTGACCATTTCTTCCTCGCCCCTCCGCGATACCTGCAAAGACACACACACAGCCAATATGCACGTTAGCTAGAGATGGGAAACAGCTCAGCTACTGTGCCGCAATACCTAAAAGCAAAGAAGGGAATAAAAGGCAACAGAAAGTGCAGGCCAGTTGAGCTACCGGTAGCGGATGGGCATCGTTCCGGTAAGCCAGCTGCCGGCTACTATACAGCAGAAAAATTAATTTACCATGTAAAATTATAAAAGGCTAAATAATGAGATCGTGGTTGGAGGAGGAGGCTAAAAGGGATGCGGAGAGAAAAAGAAACTCACAGCACGAATGCCAATGAGGTCGGCTCCTAGCCATTTCAACAGGTGTATCCAGCCAAACGTGTTCATCGTCTTTCGGACCCCAGTCAGGGAGCCGAGACGTTCCAACCGAGGCTAGCTCCGAAGTGAGGGTCTTCATTCCTCGTGATCAAGTTATCGATTGGCCACCTCTCCTCTTCTTCCATCCACACCCCCGGCGCGCAAACAACGCAGGTCACGGAAGTCGGTGGGATGGCAGGCGTAACACGTGGCTCAGCCATCGGAGCCTGGTGCGCGAAATAACGGTGCTGAGCAGTTCAGTTCCTTTTCATGTGCTTTAACCAAGGCGTCGAACACGCGCGTTGGTCAAGCGGTGTTCCCACCAGATGTGAGCTAAATTGCGAAGGCACCGGTGATCGAACGTAACTAGCCTCGTTGTGTCCGCTGATTTAAGGAGCCAGATTTCACAACCGTACAGTAGGGTCGATGGGTTGTATAAACTTATCTTCATCATCGTATCTCGGTAAAGTTCTTGAAGTCAATCCTCGTAGGTCCAAAGGCATAGGTGGACAGCCCGGACCACCATCTCAATCATTCTGTCCCATCGATCCCATCTTCCCGTGGTTTGAACAATTGGGTTCAAATCCTTATCGCCATCGGAACATCACCTCAACAAAACCTTATCTTCCTGCAAGTGTTCCACTTACTTGCGATGCCATGGTGTTATGCACCTTCCACCTTGCCAGTGGATTATTTCGCCAGTTATCAGAATCATTATCACTTTGGCGTTGTTATCCTATGGACACCTTGCTCACCTCGCCGGTGTGGTCAGATATCAATCCTAGGCTCACTGGAGGTTTGCCTATTATGGTCTGTACTATTGCGTTCGGCCATACCTATATTCCGGAGACCACAGCAAGCCCCTTGATGGGTGTTTTATACTGGCTTGAACACTTGGAAGCAAATCCTTTTTACGTTTAAAACATCTCCTCAAAAATGCTTTATCTCCCTACAAGCGCTATACTTACCTGCAATAGTTATTCCTTTTGGACCTGCTTGCGAAACCCGCATGACCCGTGGGTTATCTGCTCAGACAAATATACTGCGTATGAAATATCTGACCCTCATCACTCTGAAGTTCTTGCTCACCTGCGTAACTCGGCATCCCAATCTGCATACCCCATCTCCGTCCACTACCGCCAATTCC